GACGTCAGATACAGCTAGTCACCATTCTGCCAGACGTCACACATGCAGTCACAGAGCAAGATGACGTCAGACACAGTCAGTTGCAATTCGGCCAGACGTCACACATGCAGTCACAGAGCAGGATGATGTCAGATACAGCTAGTCACCATTCTACCAGAAGTCACACATGCAGCGACAGAGCAGGATGACGTCAGATACAGCTAGTCACCATTCTACCAGAAGTCACACATGCAGTCACAGAGCAGGATGACGTCAGATACAGCTAGTCACCATTCTGCCAGAAGTCACACATGCAGTCACAGAGCAGGAATGACGCCAGATACAGCTAGTCACCATTTTACCAGAAGTCACACATGCAGTCACAGAGCAGGATGACGTCAGGTACAGCTAGTCACCATTCTACCAGAAGTCACATATGCAGTCACAGAGCAGGATGACGTCAGATACAGCTAGTCACCATTCTGCCAGACGTCACACATGCAGTCACAGAGCAGGATGACGTCAGATACAGCTAGTCACCATTCTGCCAGACGTCACACATGCAGTCACAGAGCAGGATGACGTCAGATACAGCTAGTCACCATTCTGCCAGAAGTCACACATGCAGTCACAGAGCAGGATGACGTCAGATACAGCTAGTCACCATTCTGCCAGAAGTCACACATGCAGTCACAGAGCAGGATGACGTCAGATACAGCTAGTCACCATTCTGCCAGAAGTCACACATGCAGTCACAGAGCAGGATGACGTCAGATACAGCTAGTCACCATTCTGCCAGACGTCACACATGCAGTCACAGAGCAGGATGACGTCAGATACAGCTAGTCACCATTCTGCCAGAAGTCACACATACAGCGACAGAGCAAGATGACGTCAGACACAGTCAGTTGCAATTCGGCCAGACGTCACACATGCAGTCACAGAGCAGGATGACGTCAGATACAGTCAGTTGCAATTCGGCCAGACGTCACACATGCAGTCACAGAGCAGGATGACGTCAGATACAGCTAGTCACCATTCTGCCAGACGTCACACATGCAGTCACAGAGCAGGATGACGTCAGATACAGCTAGTCACCATTCTACCAGACGTCACACATGCAGTCACAGAGCAGGATGACGCCAGATACAGCTAGTCACCATTCTGCCAGACGTCACACATGCAGTCACAGAGCAGGATGACGTCAGATACAGCTAGTCACCATTCTACCAGAAGTCACACATGCAGTCACAGAGCAGGATGACGTCAGATACAGCTAGTCACCATTCTGCCAGACGTCACACATGCAGTCACAGAGCAGGATGACGTCAGATACAGCTAGTCACCATTCTGCCAGACGTCACACATGCAGTCACAGAGCAGGATGACGTCAGACACAGTTAGTTGCAATTCGGCCAGACGTCACACATGCAGTCACAGAGCAGGATGACGTCAGATACAGCTAGTCACCATTCTGCCAGACGTCACACATGCAGTCACAGAGCAAGATGACGTCAGACACAGTCAGTTGCAATTCGGCCAGACGTCACACATGCAGTCACAGAGCAGGATGACGTCAGATACAGCTAGTCACCATTCTGCCAGACGTCACACATGCAGTCACAGAGCAGGATGACGTCAGATACAGCTAGTCACCATTCTACCAGAAGTCACACATGCAGTCACAGAGCAGGATGACGTCAGATACAGCTAGTCACCATTCTGCCAGAAGTCACACATGCAGCGACAGAGCGGAATGACGCCAGATACAGCTAGTCACCATTTTACCAGAAGTCACACATGCAGTCACAGAGCAGGATGACGTCAGGTACAGCTAGTCACCATTCTACCAGAAGTCACATATGCAGTCACAGAGCAGGATGACGTCAGATACAGCTAGTCACCATTCTGCCAGACGTCACACATGCAGTCACAGAGCAGGATGACGTCAGATACAGCTAGTCACCATTCTACCAGAAGTCACACATGCAGTCACAGAGCAGGATGACGTCAGATACAGCTAGTCACCATTCTGCCAGAAGTCACACATGCAGTCACAGAGCAGGATGACGTCAGATACAGCTAGTCACCATTCTGCCAGAAGTCACACATGCAGCGACAGAGCAGGATGACGTCAGATACAGCTAGTCACCATTCTGCCAGAAGTCACACATGCAGTCACAGAGCAGGATGACGTCAGATACAGCTAGTCACCATTCTGCCAGACGTCACACATGCAGTCACAGAGCAGGATGACGTCAGATACAGCTAGTCACCATTCTGCCAGAAGTCACACATACAGCGACAGAGCAAGATGACGTCAGACACAGTCAGTTGCAATTCGGCCAGACGTCACACATGCAGTCACAGAGCAGGATGACGTCAGATACAGTCAGTTGCAATTCGGCCAGATGTCACACATGCAGTCACAGAGCAGGATGACGTCAGATACAGCTAGTCACCATTCTGCCAGACGTCACACATGCAGTCACAGAGCAGGATGACGTCAGATACAGCTAGTCACCATTCTGCCAGACGTCACACATGCAGTCACAGAGCAGGATGACGTCAGACACAGCTAGTTGCAATTCGGCCAGACGTCACACATGCAGTCACAGAGCAGGATGACGTCAGATACAGCTAGTCACCATTCTGCCAGACGTCACACATGCAGTCACAGAGCAAGATGACGTCAGACACAGTCAGTTGCAATTCGGCCAGACGTCACACATGCAGTCACAGAGCAGGATGACGTCAGATACAGCTAGTCACCATTCTACCAGAAGTCACACATGCAGTCACAGAGCAGGATGACGTCAGATACAGCTAGTCACCATTCTGCCAGAAGTCACACATGCAGTCACAGAGCAGGATGACGTCAGATACAGCTAGTCACCATTCTGCCAGAAGTCACACATGCAGCGACAGAGCAGGATGACGTCAGATACAGCTAGTCACCATTCTACCAGAAGTCACACATGCAGTCACAGAGCAGGATGACGTCAGATACAGCTAGTCACCATTCTGCCAGAAGTCACATATGCAGTCACAGAGCAGGATGACGTCAGATAGACGCATGCAGTCACAGAGCAGGATGACGTCAGACCATTCTACCAGAAGCCAGAACGTCACACATGCAGTCACAGAGCAGGATGACGTCAGATACAGCTAGTCAGTCATTCTGCCATTCTGCCAGACGTCACACATGCAGTCACAGAGCAGGATGACGTCAGATACAGCTAGTCACCATTCTGCCAGACGTCACACATGCAGTCACAGAGCAGGATGACGTCAGATACAGCTAGTCACCATTCTGCCAGACGTCACACATGCAGTCACAGAGCAGGATGACGTCAGATACAGCTAGTCACCATTACAGCGACAGAGCCAGAAGTCAGACACATGCAGTCGGCCAGAGCAGGATGACGTCAGGAGATACAGCTAGTCACCATTCTGCCAGACGTCAGACACATGCAGTCACAGAGAGCAGGATGACGTCAGATACAGCTAGTCACCATTCTGCCAGAAGTCACACATGCAGCGACAGAGCAAGATGACGTCAGACACAGTCAGTTGCAATTCGGCCAGAAGTCACACATGCAGTCACAGAGCAGGATGACGCCAGATGCAGCTAGTTACCATTCTACCAGAAGTCACACATGCAGCGACAGAGCAGGATGACGTTACCCACACGCCAGCTGTCACAGAAGTCAGCTGCAGCGACAAAGCTGCCGAACGGCTCATAACGGTAATCGAGAGGAATCTTTCACCGTTGGAAGTAATTATTCTTAACCAAACATGAATTGATCTTCTACAAGCTGTTCCACCAGCCTGATTAGAACACTACCAGAAATAACTAGCTGTGCGTCAGGTCATCTGTGTAGTCCGCAAGAAAAAGAAAAGTGAGGCAATAATCACCTGCAAGGGAGGAGTCCAGTTAGACTGACGCTTAGTATCTAAAGAAATTATTCCATTTAGATTTAAAAGGAGCTTCAGTGAGATGGGACATTCAGAACCTGGGGGAAATTATGTCGAGTTTTCGCATTGCAGAGAGGGTTGGGCAGAGGGGAAAATAAGGTGGTTCCATCTGTAACACCCACTATGTCTACTCAGTCTATGTTCAGTCAGTGTATAGAATTATGTTAAGCCAGTTTATATATGTATGTTCTGCCCGTGTATAGATCTGTTTCGTCTCAGTGTACAGATCTATGTCTTCTCATTGTATTGATCTATGTGCAACCAGTGTATAGATCTCCCTCTCCACATAAAGCAGTCTCCCACATTGGAATCTTTCAAAATTAAGTTGAAGACTTTCTTTTTTTCCAAAGCCTATCCCTAAAATCAATCTTTCTGTCATCAATTTCAATGTATACTTATTTTGCTATTTTATCCTCTGTATGCATTGTATGTATGCTTTTATGTAGCGCCTTGAGCATGTATCAGTGGGTGGAAAATGGCGAGCTAAAAATATCCATTTTTATTATTATTATTATCTATACTCAGTCAGTGTATAAATATATGTTGAAAGCACTTCCAGAATTATACAGACACAGCCTTTACAGATGATGATATGAAACTCAAAAAACGGAACTTTAAAAAATGAGTTTTGCTGCACTGGTAGATCAATAATGAAGGTTGCATGGGTTCCCATGACAGCTTCCCTTGGTTTGATGTAACATTCTCAATGGACGTGTAACCATTACTAGGTCTACAAGACATACATGATCAATATAGAAGGTCGCTTTCCTTCCCTTGCCAGCTTGGCTTGACGCTAGCCTCCACAGACACAGCGACTGTCAGAGATTGTCTACTCCCACGACCACCTCGTAGTTTGACTGTGATCACGACTAGAGCTACCAGAAGCACCAAGCAGCCACCAGCAACACCCAGTACGATTGTGATAGTGTCATCATCGCCTCCACTACTGTTGTTTGGTATCGGCAGAGTGTTACCGTCATTGTTATAAGGGGTTGTAGAGGAATGGACAGAAACACTACTCAACACAGTCTCTAATTGGACAGGAACACTATCCAACACAGTTTCCGAATGGACAGGAACACTACCCAACACAGTTTCTGATTGGACAAGAACACTACCCAACACAGTCTCTGATTGGACAGGAACACCACTCAAGACAGTCTCTGAATAGACAGGAACACTACCCAACACAGTTTCCGAATGGACAGGAACACTACCCAACACAGTTTCTGATTGGACAGGATCACTACCCAACACAGTTTCCGAATGGACAGGAACACTACCCAACACAGTTTCTGAATGGACAGGAACACTACCCAACACAGTTTCCGAATGGACAGGAACACTACCCAACACAGTTTCCGAATGGACAGGAACACTACCCAACACAGTTTCTGATTGGACAGGAACACTACCCAACACAGTTTCTGATTGGACAGGAACACTACCCAACACAGTTTCTGATTGGACAGGAACACTACCCAACACAGTTTCTGATTGGACAGGAACACTACCCAACACAGTTTCTGATTGGACAGGAACACTACCCAACACAGTCTCTGAATGGACAGGAACACTACCCAACACAGTTTCTGAATGGACAGGAACACTACCCAACACAGTTTCTGAATGGACAGGAACACTACCCAACACAGTTTCCGATTGGACAGGAACACTACCCAACACAGTTTCCGAATGGACAGGAACGCTACCCAACACAGTTTCCGATTGGACAGGAACACTACCCAACACAGTTTCCGAATGGACATGTTCTACTGATATCGGTATGGAGGCTTGGCTGTCAGTGTAGTGTGTTGTAGATGCATAGGCCAAGCTTGTCAAAGCAAGGCCTTTCCAATACGATGATGTTGTAGGTACACTCTGGGTTGTATGAGACGGCTGTATATCCAGGCTGGTCATGGCAGGGGAGGGTAGAGAACTCTCCGCAGTCGAAAGGCTAGTCACAGTGTGCTGTTTTATGGACCCGACGACTTCATTCATCCCTCTAGTAACATCAACATCTGTAACAGCTTGTGTTGGGGGTGACGCAGATCCAACTACAACGTGCTCACTATCTTCTTTCAACAGTCCGTATGTGGACAACGGTGGTGTTTTGAGGGAGTCTAACGCCAACAGTTTAGTCATGCTGAGAGGCATATGTGTTTCAAGGAGCGGTTTGTTAGTTGTTCGAGTATATGTATATGGGGCTGTTGCTTGCAATGTTCTATTGGGCTGACTGTTCCTTACAGTCATTTCCTTGAGTTCTAATGTCTTCAAATGCGTACCCAAAGAACGAGAGTGAGAACCACCGTCAAGGAATGACTGTGTGGAACTTGAACGTTGTCCCGGTAATGGGCCGGAGATTGAAACTGACCTTGTTCCGGTAGATATCGAACTGGGAGAAAGGTGTGCTTCAGCTGAGTCAATGGAGGAGGTTGTTATAGATTCTCTAGATCTATCAGGCAGTTGGGTTGTTTCATACTCAGATGGGTTATTCACCATGTCACCCAATGATGAACTCAACGTTTCAGCAATTGTCAGCTTCTCAGATTGTTGAGCATATGCAATGTCTGTCTCCAAACTGATTATCTGAGGTGTGACAGTTTTCGTCGCTTCTTCAGTAAGGAACATTCCATAGCCAGCATCACTTGAAATTATAATACTGAAGTGTTGTTGTGGCGGAGCAACACCTTCAGTTGGTATACTTTGTTCACTTTTTGTTTGATCTATCTCCAGATTTGACATTTTAGCATCATGGTTTTTACTCCTTACTGAAGTGTGGACAGTGTGTTTGGTGGATGTAGACATTCCTCCTTGGTTAGTATGCTGATTTGATTTGGATGACACCTGTTCACTTGACAGAACTGTTAAAAATAAAGTATGATTCACTGTTTGGGGGGCAAATAGTGACGTAATTTGTCCAGTGTCCACACTCGTTGTTTCATGGACACTTGAAGCTGTTCCCAAACCCGGCAATTGCTGACGACTATGTGTTGTTGTATGACCAAGCTCTTCAGTTCCTTGACTTGTAGGCACAATGTTCGTTACTATTCCTGAACCTCCTGTTGGCATTAGGCTTGCAGTGGGTAGTCCATTCTGTCTTGTTCCTAGACTTGCTGTATGGAATGTACTCAGAACTAATCCTGAAACTGTGGTAGGCAATCCGCTCTGCCCATTTTCTGAACTTGATGTAGACATTCCACTCTTTCCTGTTTGTGGACTTGTTGTAGGGATTTGTCTTTCTCTTGTTCCTTGACTTTGTGGGCGTGTTGTAGGCATTTCACTCTTTCCTGTTTGTGGACTTCCTGTAGGCATTCCAGTCTGTCCTGTTTGTGGACTTGTTGTAGGCATTCTACTCTTTCCTGTTTGTGCACTTGTTGTAGGCATTCCACTTATTCCTGTTTGTGGACTTGCTGTAGGCATTCCACTGTTTCCTGTTTGTGGACTTGTTGTAGGCATTCCGCTCTTTCCTGTTTGTGGACTTGTTGTAGGCATTCCACTCTTTTCTGTTTGTGGACTTGTTGTAGGCATTCCACCCTTTCCTGTTTGTGGACTTGCTGTAGGCATTTCACTCTTTCCTGTTTGTGGACTTCCTGTAGGCATTTCACTCTTTCCTGTTTGTGGACTTGTTATAGGCATTCCACTCTGTCCTGTTTGTGGACTTGTTGTAGGCATTCCACTCTTTCCTGTTTGTGGACTTGTTGTAGGCATTCCACTCTTTCCTGTTTGTGGACTTGTTCCACTCTTTCCTGCATTCTACTCTTTCATTCCACTTTCCCTTTGTGGACTTCCTGTAGGCATTCCACTCTTTCCTGTTTGTGGACTTGCTGTAGGCATTTCCACTCTTTCCTGTTTGTGGACTTGTTGTAGGCAATCCGCTCTGCCCTGCTTGTGGACTTGTTGTAGGCATTCCGCTCTTTCCTGTTTGTGGACTTCCTGTAGGCATTCCACTCTTTCCTGTTTGTGGACTTCCTGTAGGTATTCCACTCTGTCCTGTTTGTGGACTTGTTGTAGGCATTCGACTCTGTCCTGTTTGTGGACTTGTTGTAGGCATTCCACTCTTTCCTGTTTGTGGACTTGTTGTAGGCATTCTACTCTTTCCTGTTTGTGGATTTGTTGTAGGCATTCCACTCTTTCCTGTTTGTGGACTTGATGTAGGCATTCCACTCTTTCCTGTTTGTGGACGTGATGTAGGCATTCCACTCTTTCCTGTTTGTGGACTTGATGTAGGCATTCCACTCTTTCCTGTTTGTGGACTTGTTGTAGGCATTCCGCTCTTTCCTGTTTGTGGACTTGTTGTAGGCATTCCACTCTTTGTCTGTTGTAGGCATTCCACTCTTTCCTGTTTGTGGACTTGTTGTAGGCATTCCACTCTTTCCTGTTTGTGGACTTGTTGTAGGCATTCCACTCTTTCCTGTTTGTGGACTTGTTGTAGGCATTCCACTCTTTCCTGTTTGTGGACTTGTTGTAGGCATTCCACTCTTTCCTGTTTGTGGACTTGTTGTAGGCATTTCACTCTTTCCTGTTTGTGGACTTCCTGTAGGCATTTCACTCTTTCCTGTTTGTGGACTTGTTATAGGCATTTCAATCGTTCCTGTTTGTGGACTTGTTGTAGGCATTCCACTCTGTCCTGTTTGTGGACTTGTTGTAGGCATTCCACTCTTTCCTGTTTGTGGACTTGTTGTAGGCATTCCACTCTTTCCTGTTTGTGGACTTCCTGTAGGCATTCCACTCTTTCCTGTTTGTGGACTTGTTGTAGGCATTCCACTCTTTCCTGTTTGTGGACTTCCTGTAGGCATTCCACTCTTTCCTGTTTGTGGACTTGCTGTAGGCATTCCACTCTTTCCTGTTTGTGGACTTGTTGTAGGCAATCCGCTCTTTCCTGCTTTGTGGACTTGTTGTAGGCATTCCGCTCTTTCCTGTTTGTGGACTTCCTGTAGGCATTCCACTCTTTCCTGTTTGTGGACTTCCTGTAGGCATTCCACTCTGTCCTGTTTTTGTGTGGACTTGTTGTAGGCATTCGCACTCTGTCCTGTTTGTGGACTTGTTGTAGGCATTCCACTCTTTCCTGTTTGTGGACTTGCTGTAGGCATTCCACTCTTTCCTGTTTGTGGACTTGATGTAGGCATTCCACTCTTTCCTGTTTGTGGACTTGTTGTAGGCATTCCACTCTTTCCTGTTTGTGGACTTTGTTGCAGGACTGTCCTGTTTGTGGACTTGTTGTAGGCATTCCACTCTTTCCTGTTTGTGGACTTGTTGTAGGCATTCCACTCTGTCCTGTTTGTGGACTTGTTGTAGGCATTCCACTCTTTCCTGTCTGTGGACTTGTTGTAGGCATTCCACTCTTTCCTGTTTGTGGACTTGTTGTAGGCATTCCACTCTTTCCTGTTTGTGGACTTGCTGTAGGCATTCCACTCTTTCCTGTTCTGTGGACTTGTTGTAGGCATTCCACTCTTTCCTGTTTGTTGACTTGTTGTAGGCATTTCACTCTTTCCTGTTTGTGGACTTCCTGTAGGCATTCCACTCTTTCCTGTTTGTGGACTTGTTGTAGGCATTCCACTCTTTCCTGTTTGTGGACTTGTTGTAGGCAATCCGCTCTGCCCTGCTTGTGGACTTGTTGTAGGCATTCCACTCTTTCCTGTTTGTGGACTTGTTGTAGGCATTCCACTCTTTCCTGTTTGTGGACTTGCTGTAGGCATTCCACTCTTTCCTGTTTGTGGACTTGTTGTAGGCATTCCACTCTTTCCTGTTTGTGGACTTGTTGTAGGCATTCCACTCTGTCCTGTTTGTGGACTTGTTGTAGGCATTCCACTCTTTCCTGTTTGTGGATTTGTTGTAGGCATTCCACTCTTTCCTGTTTGTGGACTTGATGTAGGCATTCCACTCTTTCCTGTTTGTGGACTTGATGTAGGCATTCCACTCTTTCCTGTTTGTGGACTTGATGTAGGCATTCCACTCTTTCCTGTTTGTGGACTTGTTGTAGGCATTCCACTCTTTCCTGTTTGTGGACTTGTTGTAGGCATTCCACTCTTTCCTGTTTGTGGACTTGTTGTAGGCATTCCACTCTTTCCTGTTTGTGGACTTGTTGTAGGCATTCCACTCTTTCCTGTTTGTGGACTTGCTGTAGGCATTCCACTCTTTCCTGTTTGTGGACTTGTTGTAGGCAATCCGCTCTGCCCTGCTTGTGGACTTGTTGTAGGCATTCCGCTCTTTCCTGTTTGTGGACTTCCTGTAGGCATTCCACTCTTTCCTGTTTGTGGACTTCCTGTAGGTATTCCACTCTGTCCTGTTTGTGGACTTGTTGTAGGCATTCGACTCTGTCCTGTTTGTGGACTTGTTGTAGGCATTCCACTCTTTCCTGTTTGTGGACTTGTTGTAGGCATTCTACTCTTTCCTGTTTGTGGATTTGTTGTAGGCATTCCACTCTTTCCTGTTTGTGGACTTGATGTAGGCATTCCACTCTTTCCTGTTTGTGGACTTGATGTAGGCATTCCACTCTTTTCCTGTTTTGTGGACTTGATGTAGGCATTCCACTCTTTCCTGCTTTGTGGACTTGTTGTAGGCATTCCACTCTGTCCTGTTTGTGGACTTGTTGTAGGCATTCCACTCTTTCCTGTTTGTGGACTTGTTGTAGGCATTCCACTCTGTCCTGTTTGTGGACTTGTTGTAGGCATTCCACTCTTTCCTGTCTGTGGACTTGCTGTAGGCATTCCACTCTTTCCTGTTTGTGGACTTGTTGTAGGCATTCCACTCTTTCCTGTTTGTGGACTTCCTGTAGGCATTCCACTCTTTCCTGTTTGTGGACTTGTTGTAGGCATTC